TTGATATTTTGTGTTGTTTGTTGTTCTTTGTTTACGAGGCACGGGATTTCGACGGACAGACCGTACAACATTAGCGCCTCTGACTTCTATTCTGGGCCATATCATCAACGCGGAGGGGCCAGGTCTCTCAACCGTAGAGTAGAACGCTACGAACCACGGCGATGTACACCCTTCCCTTAAGGGATAGTCGGACGTCATGACGGCCCCACAGGTGTCGCAGGTTGGCGAAATTTGCCCTTGAAGAACGTGAATTTACGATTTTCATGGGCCACAAACCTTTAAAGTTTACCTTGAAATCCAATAGTGATAAGTACTCATCCAGAGAAGTCCGCTAGTAAGACTATATCTTTCAGTTCACAACTAATATCAGACATATTTTTGGCACTGCAAATGTCGAAAGTTTCCTACGGCACTCTTCTTGAGGGGGTGAGTGGGTGATGTAGTGGCTTTAGACCAACAGTGTAACATGCTCTAGTTGTCACCATCTTTGACCTGCCTGTTCCGCATGTGTGCTTTCCGATGGTTGCAGGCATTCGTTGCTTGGAGCTTTTGCTAGTGTATCCTTTTCCTTTGTAGCATAGATTCCGCCAGGATCTTCCATATCCTGAGACCGTTTCTTGAGCTAGGTCTTTCAGCTTTGTTTAAGTTACTGCCACCTCCGGTGAAGTAACCACACGTTAAACGGTGTGTGAGTTCAGTGGTGCACCTTCGCTTGCTAAGCTCTTCGATTTCAGACACTTGCGTACTCAGGCTAAACTTCCGGAACTTTCAAGGGAACAATGTATTTTCCCTTGACTAATCGATTGTTGTTCCTGATACCCACCGGGATATCGAGAATCACGGGAAATTAGAGACCGGATCGCTTTCACAAGTCGTGAGATAGCACCCTCCATCTCTAAACCCCTGCTTTGAGTCATAAGGTGTAAGGTTCGAATCCTGTCATCTCTGTACTTTCGTTTGGTTCAGGATCACGACCATCCTATTGAGGTATCATTTGGTGTACCATTCCGACTCCTAGGACTTGGGTGACTGGATATCAGGTGTGAACAATAAGTCTTCGCGTCAATGGGGTTCATCCCCTTTTGTCGCTCAGCTAACAACCGCATGGAATTAAATCCCAACATACCGATTCAGTCATTGTTAGTTCTTGGTAAATGAGTATTATTTTTCCTAACTGTACCTTTGCCGACTTTTGTTGTAGATTGGAAACCGACCGTGAAGCAAATCTACTTCTACCCATGTACACAATCTACTTGTTGTTTATTGGCGAATGAATTTTCATCTCTACCTCGATCTACAATGATTCAACCGGTACTGGCCGTGATAAATGTGGGAAACTTGAGTTCATCTGAATCTCTTTTTGCTCATGGTATTGCTAACCTGAAATTGGTAATGTCGAATCCAACGCTCCACAGGTCACACTCTGGAGAAACAGTTTGACGACGCAAACAAACAAGTTCTTCGTATTCGTTGTAAATATTATCATGCCTGCGTTACCGTACGGGAACTACAGGATGAAGAAGAGGTACATGACATAGAAGGTTCCATACTGTACTTTAACGCAGAAAAGGTAAATCATTATAGCGATTCAGGTTTCATTGCTTTGTTTTTGTTCTTGTGTCTACCGTTCGTTTTTACACGACTCTTTTCGTTCTCCAGACTTCTAGCTGGCAGGACGCTCAGCGTTGGATGAATGTGATCGATCGGGCTGGGATTCCTTTGCGACTTTTAGTATGTCACCGTATCCCGCCAGAATCGCATTTGTTCTATCAAATGGCCGTTGAAAAACAATTCGAACTGATCGAGCTGAACCCAAACCCGGATGATATAGAAGAAGGTAGGCCTGCATACTGATGTTAATCTGTCATGGTACTGTGGACCACGTGCATGCATTCGAACAAGTGTAATGTACTGTCCACAGTTACCTCTTGAGTTCTACTTTGGATTTTTTCATTATCTTTTCGTGGTTAGGGTATTCCTACTACAGTAAGGGTGGAAAGGCAAGATGAGGAGCTGTAACCGGTTTGCTGAGCCGAGGAAATCTGCCTGTTGTTATTGGTGGTGGTGGCGATGGCTACTTGTTTTAGTTATACACCTTAGTGTGATGAACAACAGACGTGGCGAATCCCATAGTCACGAGGATGTGCTGCTTAGTGATGGAAACCGGCAACCTAAGCCCCGGGACATGGAGTGGCGAACCACATAAGGCCCCAATAGGTTAGGTGTGGTATTGAACCGGACGACAAAAGAGCTGCCTACCACCAAAGTCGGGTGGCGGTAGCGGGGCTCGAACCTCGGAACATAGGGTCCAACCACGCCGGTCATGGCGACTAAACCACTGCGCCACCAACAACTGGTGCTAAGTTCTGTGGTTCGAACCCTGCCACACCCTCGAGTTTATTAGTTAGTTGATCCGCTGCTACTCTGGCGCTACTACGTCTACCTTACGCGGTTTCTCAATTCGAGTCCCGGAATGTATTACTGTTTCCGAAACCGTGGGTCTTTTGCCCTCAAAATAGCGATTTCTTTGAGAAAGCCGAGATTCCTCCTCACCTAAAGAAGCGCTCTCATGAGATGCACTGACAGGGACATCGGCTGGGGAAGTTTCAAGCACTCCACCGTTTGTGGCAAGGTTGTTTTTAGTAAAGTCAAATAGCGATAAATCAATATCTAGGATAATGAAACACACGCAACTAGTTCATCAAGGGGAGCTTAAAGGAACCTGATTCCCAACATCTCAAGGAGCATCGCACGAACTGACGTCATGATACCCTAACGACAATAATCACCGGCTCAAATGCATTACAGGATAGATTACCCACCCCGTACAATTCATCCTCGTTTTGATGACGTAAGATTCGGCTGCGGTTTTCATGCCGTCTTGTTACCTTGCGGATCTGGTTTTGATTAATTAAAAGTTCCAGTTGTGCATCCATGTTCCGTATCAATGTTATCATTATTTAATAATTTTTCACACATATCCGAATTCAGACTTTGTCAGACAAATCACGACACAGTAATCTTTATAAAAAAATGAACAAAGGTCCACAATTTGCTCAAGGACACGATACCGCCAGTTTACCCAGGGGTTATTTACAACCGGGGATTTCGCTTAGCCAAAGCCTGATTCATTAGGCAGCGAAACAACGGACTAAAAATAACAACCTGACTTAGGGGGGGGGNGGGGGGGGGGGGGTCATTGCCCAGATCTTCTAATCATGCCTCTTTTGGATGGAGTCAAGCTTCCAACATTCTTAGTACATCTCAGCGCCCTACCAATCTTGTAACCAGTACCACAGCCATGAAAAGATCAGTGCTTTATGTGAGTCTCTTATTGGTTGGTTCGGAATGAGGGTTTTTCGCTATTTGGGTGAGCTGCTGTTAGTTTAACCCGGATGCTGGTTTTCTGTCCTCTCATTTTGATAAGGACGTGCATTCACAACGTGAAAGTAGTAGGTAGAGCTTCCTCATTGCACTGCTGCTGAGACCCAACCAGGTTGAAACAGCTGTCTAGTGCTTCCCAGCTTTTCAGCTTACGCCCCATATCTACACTACAAATTCAGCATATAAACAACCCAAATTCTTCGTTGCTCTCATACAGCCTGTTTCATGAATGAATTTTTCACCATGGTTTTTCTGGCAGTCGGGAATCGAACAATTGAAAAATATGATAATAGTATTTTTCTTGTACAAGATTTGGTGTTTCTCCCGTGCATCGCGCGG